GATATACATCTTCATTCAACCCATCTTTAAAAGCTTCTATCAGGGCTCCCTGGGACCAGTCTTGAATATGACACGCCAGCTCTCTAAATTCCTGGGTCTAGTCGGCCACTGATCTCTGCCCCTGATTTATGGTCTTCATCCTAATTCTGGCCTTACGTTCAGCAAGTTAGTCTTCAAACCTGGCCCGCAGCACAGTCATGAACGGGTCATAATTCATCAGCTGGGGGGCATTATCATTATGCAAAGTCACCATCCACTTTGCAGCTGTTCCCTCCAGAGCCCTTGTACAAATCTAACTTTGGCTGCTTCTGAGGAAAAAATCCTCTCCATATTCCTCCATATGGCTCCAGACTTGTGCCAGGAAGAATCCTAACTCCTTGGGATTCCCCCCCCCCCCATTTTACTTCCAACAGAGGCACCTTTGGAGTTCTACGCCTTCTGGCAATTACTCCCCCTGCCGGGGGGCCCTGGGATGCTGCTGCCTGTTGCACCAGCCCAGGTTGATTTAAGGGGGTGGCTGCTCTGATTCTTCTGGCTGGGGCTGCCTCCCCCTCCTCTCTCATACCTTTGATCAGTTTGAGGTTCTCCGATAGCTTCATTTAGAAGATGCATGGCTTGAGTTAGTAAAAAATTCTTTCTTTCCTTCCCTTGCCATGGCTCTTCTCTTCCACGCCGATGGGTAGTGGTCACTCCTGGAGGAGGCTTTTCCTCAGGATCCTTCCAGCCGACTCCCTGGGACCATTTGGGTTTTACAGCTGGTTTTTCATCAAGACTTAATTCTGCTAACAAGTCGGGTTCCCCTGCCACCTCTAACAGCAGGGAATCTTGTCCTCCAGTCGTTCCCAGGTCTTCTTGGTCGCTGGCTGGATTTGACATTGTGTTCAGACCCACTCAGAAGAAAATTTATTAATTGTCTGGGGGGGGGCTGGTAACGTGCAGATTCAGAATAATGTCAGCTGGTGCTCCATCCAAAATCCAAAAAAGAAATACGTAGACTCCATTAATTAGAGAAAAGATATCTTTTACTGGAAATCAAGTGGTAGCAACACAAGAATTCTGAATCTGAGAAAATGGGCACGTAAATCACATATACAAAGTGATGGCAACGTTCCCACCCCCAATAGTTCAATTGGCTTATGCAATTAAAAGTTGTGTATATCATCATGTGGGCATCTCCAGGTGGTGATAAAGCCTCTGTCCATTGACCTTGACATATTTTGATAAAGAGTTGCAGCTGCGTATAGCATAGGATAGAAGCCTAAGCAAGAATCTCCACCCCCCAGCTTATACAGTTCTGTTTTGTAACACTTCCAGCTCACTTCCCATAACCATATCCCCCCTCCCCCCCATTACTTATGACAGATGAAAGATGCAAAGCAAAGGGAGAAAATCTTGAACGTTGACAATGTTGTTGCATCATCTAACACAAAGCCCTATGAACAGACAGACCAAATTGTAAAAATAAATGAAACAAATATTTGGATCAAATTCCATCACTTCTACCAAGCATCAGGAATAGCTGAACTATTAGCAGAAGTAGAATTCCAATTAGGTAGAACAGGAGTCCCTAACCACGGGTCTTTGGACCGACACTGGTCCACAGCATGCCAGAAACCAGACCACGCAAACAAGCAAAGCCCCATCTGCAGAATGCAGGCAGTACATGAAACCAAGTTCCCTCTAGTCCATGGAAAAACCTTGCCATGGCAGTGGTCCTTGTTGCCAAAAAGATTGGGGGCCACTGAGTTTTCAGCCAACAGAGAGTGTGTTGCAGTAGTTCAAGTGAATGATGATGAAGGCATGAATCACTATAGTAAGGAACTGTTGCCCGAAATGTCCCAACTGAAGCTGATAAAGGACCTCTTGGCTACAGCTTCCTCCTATTGTTCTAGCAGGAGCACAAATCCAAGAGGACCTCCAAACCAGTGGTGGGATCCAATTTTTTTTTACTATCGGTTCTGTAGGTGTAGCTTGGTGGGCGTGGTGTGGTTTGGTGGGTGTGGTGCTGTGGGCGTGGCAGGGGAAGGATCTCCATTCCCTCACTACTCCAAGGGAAGGTTACTGCAAAATCCCATTCCCTCCCTACCCCATTCTCCTGTGCAGGGCAATAAAAGAAGACCCAGATGATCAGTTGGGACTCGGGAGGCAGAGAATAGATGGGGTGGGGCCAGGTGGTATTTGCCGGTTCTCTGAACTACTCAAAATTTCCACTACCGGTTCTCCAGAACTGGTCAGAACCTGCTGAATACCACCTCTGCTCCAAACTATGGACATGCTTCTTCAGGAACAGTGCTTTCTAACTCAGAAATACTGCTGGAGCCACCAGAGAATCCCAATGGACAAATAGTAATTTTCCTTTAAGGTGACTAGAAATGTCCTTATCTGCAATGAGACTTCAACAACTTCTCTGAGATCCAAGTAATTATTCTGCCTGTGGCAGTCCAAGGATCCAGGAGGAGCAAGGATCTAGCTCACATGGCAGCAGAGGATTTCTTAGAGAGCATCCAATGTACTTCCTCAGAAGTCACAAGCTAAAAGAAACTCCCCAAACTTGGCAACATTATGTTTTAGTCAATACTCTAGGCTCTGCTCAGTATAGAATAACTCTGATAAACTTTATTGACAAAATATTGTGCTAATTTGTCACATTTCTGGGGGCTCTAAGAAAGCCAAGAGGTCATCTGCAATTGGTTGACAGAAACAGGTTGCTCAGGATGATTCATGATTTTTTTTCAACGGCATGTTGCCAACAGCAAATCAGGCCTTTGACAGATTTACCTATCAAATTGTCAAGAACATTCCAAGCATCCATTAGAAAACCAGATCCATGTGGTACTTGGGGTAGATCATCTGAATGGGTTCAGCCCTGTGGTGATCACACAGCCATCAGTCTCATCTGGACCAGGAAGTGATCTAACCATGCCAAAAAGCTGGTGGTAATTTTTAACAAAATTTTATAACAAAATCACATTATAGAGATTCTGAAGTAAACACAGGGACTAATTCATGTCAGTTCCATGATTTCCTGAGGAAAACTCATGGTTACCATGGAAATCATGAACTCCCAGCCTCCACCATATGAGGTATACATCATTTATTGTTAGAGGGGGGAAGGATTCAACTACCATCCTGACAGATCCAGACAAAATATTGAAAGGCTCCTGATGGGTATCACTGATGCTTTTTGACTTCAATCCAAATCTGCTTACTCCTGATGCTTTTTGACTTCAATCCAAATCTTCTTACTCCTTTCATCTGCCAGATCTCCTAACCATCCACAAACCAAACAGCTACTTATGAAAGCTTGGTGAATCTTTCTGTACCAGGGCCCTTAAAACTATGCCAATCTTCCAGACTGATCCTTCCCTCATACATACCAAAACTATATCCAAATCTCCAAATATATTCATATTTCCATTTCTCCTCTTTCAAATCCACACCCCATCCTGCACTCTACCTGACATCATCTTGGAAACAGTATCCCATTAATAAGCTTTGCTACTTGAAAAAACTCACAGGTGATTCTGGCAAACTGAGCTTATTAACATTTCATCAACTTCCTTAAATTAATTATTTTTTGTAGCCTCAGGCTACATGCCATCATGGCTGCTAGAAATCTTAACATGTTCCCTAAGCCTAAAAGCAGGGCTTTCAAGCCTACTTTTACATCTACCATGTTGGAAGCATGCTATTTTTAAAAACTTTATGTTTGCCTGGTGGATATCTACAAGTGGAACAAAATGACAGTGTATGTGAGATGATTTCATCACGTAAATGCTGCAACTTACATACTTGCACCAGTTGTAATAAATATTAAGGTCACTGGTTTGTTACGGACACAACAGTTTTTAATTCCAAATATTATTATCCAGGGTTAAGATGGAATATAATTTTTTAATGTGAATTACTCTGTCAAACCTCAAAGAAATATTCAGATAGAAAGGTGTCACTTAAAACATTTGTCACATCCTAACCAACCCACCAGTTAGTGTCACACTCTGAAAACTAGGTAGGGTATGGAATTGACTGAAATCTTGCATATTATATGTATGATTTTTTAATTTCTGAATCAAAATAAGTCCTGTGCAAATTGATATATGCTTACAACAGTTTGGTCAGAAGTTCCAATGCAGCATCACAAAACCTGGAGTTGCAATAATTGCAAAGCAGTTTTTCTCTAGTGTCACAAGTAGATAAAACTATTGCAGTTGCTGAGGACTATGGTGCTAGGATTTGATGAACCACATCTATACTGTAAATATACTATAAGCACAAGTGTGTTTCTTAAATGTAATACAACAACATTAAGCAGTGCCTTGTTTGGAAAACAACCAAGTATTGATGCTTGGAATTATTTACAAGACAGAAGAAAGATAGAATCAAATCCATCACCTTCTGAATTTCCAGGTAAGGATATTTGGCTATTTTTTTCTAAATAACTGCTAATCTGCTAAAACCTCTGCTTTTGGCCTAAGTCCACACATTTAACAATGTATTACAACAAGCTATAGATCTCAGTCTTGGATATGACTGGCCTGGTTCTGTGATAGCGATATGGGAAATGAGATTGTAATTCCTGTGTATTCTCATGTCTCGTGTCATTCTATTATACAATAGAAAGGTCTATCAAGTTTACTGGTTTAACATGGAAACTTCATAGTATTGACATGATGCCTTTTACCAAGTCAAAGTTATCACTACATTTTCAGCAAGCTGAAAACGTCTATATTTTGTTTTAATTTCAATTACAGGTTAGCTACCTGTTACTTTAGATTAACTACCTATTATTTGAAGTGTATTGAAGCAAACGTCTGAATATTACCTAGATATTGTTTGATTTTCAATATTACCCTCCTTAGGGTGCCTAAGCATTTATTCCAGTAAATGTATTTATTGGTTATGCAACATGTGAAAAGTTTGTCCTACCTTTTTACTTTAGTTTTTGTGTCAGGGTTGTTGTAGTGCTCCCATGAATAATCATCTCCTGATTTCTTTTTTAGGGGACAGAAAATTACTAAGAGAAAAGACTGAAAGAATTATAGAAAGTCAAGAAGATGTGATCTACCCTCTTGAGCTCACTACATCAAAACCAGGGAAGAGTTCCTACAAACGTAGCTTTGAAGAAGGGATATCTCAATCCCAAACTAAGAAAAAGAAAATAGACCTCATCTTCAAAGATGTCCTAGAGGCTTCTCTGGAATCAACTAAGGTAGAAGATCATAAGTTCACAAAGAATTCTACCCCTTCCACTCGAAAATCCTTGAGATTCCAAATTCAAGATGTCTCAGAAACGTGTGGGACTAGTGTTCAAGACAGTTCTAATCACAGTAGACACAGAAATGAGGGTGAGTGGAAGGTCCCTCATGGTTCTAACTTTACCACGTCCAAAGAAATTGGCTTGCTGGAAGAAGAATGTGAAGAACCTTTATCATTTAAAATGAACAGCCCCACTGATCTGTCTCTGGTGTCAAATCAAGATGATGCTCTCGAACTCCCAACAACTTCCTTGTGTCCCAACTGCATACGGCTGAAAAAAAAGATTCGGGAATTGCAGGCTGAGCTAAATCTGCTAAGATCTGGCAAGTTAGCTGAGCCATCTCTACTACCTCCTCAGGTACCTGAGTATCAAGCATTTTCATATCCCACTGGTAAGTTACCCAAAGTAAAAGTGCTCCTTAAACATTATACTAGGAGATGTTACATTTCTGAGGTCTCATGGTTGGATCTTACGAAGCACAGACTTAATTCTCTGAGCAATTTGGGGTATTATTATTATAATTTGTAATTATAAATCATCTTTCTTTTTTATTGTAATATGTTCATTTTCAATAAAAACATTGCAGCGAATTGGTTTGCTATATTCTTTATACATTACAGGAGAAAGAATCATGGCTGTCATTTTGAATGCAATTTAGAAAGTATGTTTGGTTTCCTATGTGCTATGTGAAATATACTGGTTCATATGTATGTGAAACATATAAAACAAAGTTTACATTTTATGTAGGAACTTACTCTTAACTTAGTTGACTTGTGTATTTGTTTGTTCTTTCATTTCCTTCCATGATACCTCAATAGTTCTTGTTATAATATGGTAGCTAGAGTACTGCTGAGGTTAGGTTTTACAATTGCTTAGTTTTAAGAAAATTAGGACTTTAAAAAAAAGTACTGGTTTCAAAACATTTATAAATCAACCTTACCCCCAAATAACATGTTCATTTTTGTTGAAAACAAGGGACATCTGTAGATATGGATGACGTGTTGTCCGATTACCTTACTATTTTATGTTGTTTTTTAGAACTTTGTCTTAAATAGTCTGTAATACTTTTTTTGTTTGTTTGTTTGGCAGCTTCAGAAAGCATCATGTCTGTTCCTACCATAATGGAAGATGATGATCAGGAAGTAGATTCAGCAGATGAATCCGTTTCAAATGACATAATAACAGCCACAGATGAGCCTTCCAAGATGTCTGCTGTCACCAGAAGGATCCGGCGGTTCAAGCAAGAGTGGCTAAAGAAGTTCTGGTTTCTGCGGTACTCTCCTACGTTGAATGAAATGTGGTGTCATGTCTGTCGGCAGTATACAGTACAGTCTTCTCGAACGTCAGCCTTCATCATTGGCTCAAAGCAATTCAAGATCCACACTATAAAACTTCATAGCCAGAGTAATCTTCACAAGAAGTGCCTGCAGCTCTACCGGCTCAGGATGCATCCAGAGAAGACAGAAGAGATGTGTCGAAATATGACTTTATTGTTCAATACAGCCTATCATTTAGCTATAGAAGGCCGGCCATATTGTGACTTTAGACCTCTTGCAGAACTACTGAGAAAGTGCGAACTCAAAGTGGTGGATCAATACATGAATGAGGGAGACTGTCAAATCTTAATTCATCATATTGCTAGAGCTCTTAGAGAAGATCTCATTGAACGGGTGAGGCAGTCTCCTTTCCTCAGCATCATTTTAGATGGGCAGAGTGATGATTTACTTGCTGACACCGTTGCAGTTTATGTACAGTATGTCAGCAGTGACGGACCTCCTGCCACTGAATTCCTTTCTCTCCAAGAACTGGGATTTTCTACAACAGATAGTTATGTTCAAGCATTAGATCGGGCTTTTTCATCTCTGGGAATGAGGCTGCAAGATGAAAAGCCAAGTGTTGGTTTGGGGATAGATGGTGCTAACATTACTGCCAGTCTAAGAGCAAATATATACATGACAATCAGGAAAACTCTGCCTTGGTTGCTCTGCTTACCTCTAATGGTACACAAGCCACACTTGGAAATATTGGATGCAATTAGTGGGAAAGAACTACCCTGCCTTGAGGAACTAGAGAACAACCTGAAGCAGTTACTCAGTTTTTACCGTTACTCTCCCAGGCTGATGTGTGAGCTAAGGGTCACTGCTGCTACTCTCTGCGAAGAGACTGAGTTCTTGGGAGATATTCGAGCAATCAAATGGATCATTGGGGAACAAAATGTCCTCAATGCTCTCATCAAGGACTACCTGGAAGTAGTGGCCCATCTGAAAGATGTCAGTGGCCAAACACAAAGAGCAGATGCTTCTGCTATTGCCTTGGCTCTCTTGCAATTCCTTATGGACTATCAGTCCATTAAGTTGATATATTTTTTGCTTGATGTCATTGCAGTCCTTTCACGACTTGCCTTCATTTTTCAAGGTGAATACCTCCTTATATCCCAAGTAGATGATAAAATAGAGGAGGCCATCCAGGAAATTAGCAGACTGGCAGACTCTCCTGGGGAATATCTACAGGAATTTGAGGAGAACTTCCGTGAAAGCTTTAATGGTGTTGCTGTGAAAAACCTACGGGTGGCTGAAGCCAAATTCCAGTCAATTCGAGAAAAAATATGCCAGAAGACCCAAGTGATTCTGGCTCAAAGGTTTGAACCTCGCAGTCGGGCATTTGTGAAAGCGTGCCAGGTTTTTGATCTTGCAGCTTGGCCCAGAAGTGCAGAAGAGCTTATGAGCTATGGCAGGGAAGACATGATGCAAATATTTGAACATCTGGAGGTGGTGCCATCTTTTTGCACAGAAATCAGCAGAGAAGGCATAGACACCAGAGGGAGTTTGCTCATGGAATGGCGAGAACTCAAGGTGGATTATTATACCAAAAATGGCTTTAAAGATTTAATCAGTCATATTTGTAAATACAGACAGAGATTTCCTCTTTTAAATAAAATAATCCAGATCCTCAAAGTCCTTCCCACTTCCACAGCATGCTGCGAAAAGGGAAGAAATGCTCTTCAGAGAGTGCGCAAAAACAATCGTTCCCGACTTACTCTGGAACAACTCAGCGATCTTTTGACAATTGCTGTAAATGGACCACCTATTGCCAACTTTGAAGCCAAACGGGCACTAGACAGTTGGTTTGAGGAGAAATCTAGCAATAGTTATGCACTGTCTGCAGAAATGTTAAGCAGGATGTCCACCTTGGATCAGAAACCTGTGCTGCAAAGCATGGACCATGGATCAGAATTTTATCCTGATATTTAGCAAGGAATGCCTCTTGTTTAGAGAACTGGTTATTTTTTTTAATCAATACTCTAGGCTTTGGTATATTACACATCACTCACTCACACACATACATACATACACACACACACACACACACACACACACACAGATGCACATGTATGATGTAAACTCTCACTGAAAATGTAAGCTGATATGATGGAAGCTAAGAGGAACACAGCAACATTTACTATGTACTGACATCTTCAACTGTGGCAGCTGCAATGTAGGTGGCAACCTTTCATTTTTCAGAAACATGTACTGGGGCCATAGTCTGCATTATCACCCTGACTCAATTTATAAGCTAGACATGGCAGGCCAATGTCACCCTACGTCTCTATGCTTTATGTGTATGTTTGTTTTTTTACCTCTCTAGTATTTTCCTTTTGTTAGTCAGCTATTGAGCCATTTTAGCCCTTTGCTTATCATCATTGGGATTTCTGAGCCCTGTGCACAAACATCTTGGAATTTGTTTCTAACTTCTCAAGGTCATCTAGGTTAGAGTGGATCCCTCTGGTAATCTGGTTAATTTTCATGCTATTGTCAACTAGCCAGAATACTTTTTCTTAGCATGACACATCAGTGGGCAGTTCCGGTGTTAGACAAATGTCCTGTGAAAACTCTACTAACAAGTTCATATATCTTCTTACAATATTGATAGCATGTTCCTGTGAAAATAGCATAATTCAGATTAGCGAAATGGGGGGTGGTGGTGTTTTTGCATTTATATTTTTATATAGTGGGAATAAGAAAATTGATTAAAACTCTTTACTGAAAACCCAGGCTGCTGTGGAAGCTAGATAGCCAATGAGTCAAATCCTTTTAGAGGATTTAGACTCCAGGGCTTAAAAATACACATATGCTAATTTTATGTTATTTATACTTGGTCTTTATAATCATAAACTGACTGTGTTTTCTGTTTGTTTGTTTGTTTGTTTGTTTTTAATAAGTGAAAGAAATACCTGCTTTCTTTGTGTGGCAGGATATATCAATGCAAAATTCATCTTTATTGCTTAACAATTCTCAAGGTTCTTTTCCTGGTTCACATATCCTTCTTTTACTAACATTTAAAGTTCCATTGTGTGGCTAAAACAAAAACAGAGTATTGTGCATATACCTGTGAAGTGTGAACTTCCTTCAAAGAGTGCATAGTCTAATAGATAATGTGGATTATGAGATTTGGAGCTAAAATAATACATGCATTCTGAATAACTTTTTTTAGCTTAATAATTCAGGATTGTTTATGATAAACAAGCCTCCACACCTGTTCGTGCCATACCCTATACATAAAGCAGTGTTGCAAAGTTATAGCTGTATTAGATGATCACAGAAGTGAAAATACAATTTTGGCTGCAGGATCTACTAGGGTAGCATGTTTCCAGAGGGACTAAACTCATGCCAGTTTGCTTTTTTTTTTTTCTTTTTAAATTCAGTAAAATGATGTCAGTTACACTGAACCTATCCATTTTCCTTCACTCCATTCCCATTTTCTCCATCTTCTTCCGGTTAGTTTTGGTGCTAAATTTCTCTGGAACCGTTGCTGCTAGTAGATAGTTTTTCATTTATATAACGATATATTGCGTTATTTTTAAACAATATGTTTTCAGTCATAATGTAGCATGTGGTTAAAACAGTCTCTCTCAGGACATATCTACACCGGGCATCTTTTCCAGTATCATTTTTGTTTGTTTGATTTTAATTTGTCTTTTGATATTCATTGTTCCAGTAATCACCCTGCCTTAGTTTTTATAAGTATGTTATTGTTATTTGCAAGATTTTAAGCTTTTTTTTAAAAAAAAATCTTGACCTAGAGTATAAAAGAAGAGGGCATCATGCCTCCCTCCATGCCGTCTCCTAGGATTTGCAAATCAGCTGCAGTTTTCAGGAAAACGTGTCCAGTCAGAAAGGGAAAAATAGCTGAGGTCTTTATAATAATGCACAAGATTTGCATAAGAAAACTTTTAAAAAATAAATAAATAAGGAGATAAAGGAAGAGCAGGGATGGGAAGTAGACCTTGGGGTTTGGAATGGAACAATCCTTTGTCCAATCTAATTGCAAAAAAAAAAAAAATGCCCCTTTGCTAAGGTGGTTACCAACTTCAGTCTGGGAAGAAGAAACAGGAAGTGAACAACTAATTGCATCCATCACAGAGGAAAAGGTGTGGAGTTGAACAGATGGATTTCTACCTTTAGTCACTTCCACTGCCGAAGGCTCATGCGCTGCCTTCTCATTCTAAGCACTCTTTCTTTCTGCGTAACAGTGAAGCACATACATTTGCCCCTGTTCATTAGTAACTTTGCAGATGACATTATATTGGACTTAAGCGGTTCACTTTCTCCAATGTCATGTATTGGGTGATAACAAATACTGAAATTGATAAAACTGATAAAATGATGAAATATCAAATGTGAAATGTTTTGACCATTTGATTATATATAAATTATTTTAAGCATTGGGGCAACTCTCATGGTTCAGAAAGCATTACTATGACCGAAAGCGCCTCTTATGTGTAACCAGTAAGAGAAAAGCCTTGTAGCCCATGGTTCATACCATTAAGGAAACAATTCGCCCTGGTTGCCGATAAGGTGCTTTCCAAAAGGCAACTTGACTTGACTTTTCTCCTTGAAAACATTTCACTTCTCATCCAAGAAGTGAAACATTTCTAAGGAAAAACTAAGGAAGTCCAATTTGCCTCAACCATGATCTGGATGAGTGAAACACAAAATTCAATTATCTCTAGGCTATGTAGAGAAGATTCTTTGTCTAAACGGACAGTAGAATGAAGGTTTGCAATGCTGTAGCAGAGTGCTAAGAATAGAAAAACATTTATGTATCCTTTTTTAAAAATCTTCCTTGCTAAAAACCATAGAAATTTAAATTTTAGGCTGTGCTGTAACTAAATCAGAATATGATGCAAATAGCATTTTAAAAGGATCTCTTCTTGCCTCCAATAAAAAAAATAATCATGCACAATTCAGTCTTATTAAATAAATGATGCTTAACTTTGGCTGCATCTTTCAGATGTTTTCTGACATTGCAATATTTTAAAGTTACTTCCTGCTCATATATAATTAGTTAATATAATGTGTGGTCAAAAATTGGGTTATCTTTTTTTTTTTTTTCAGTCATACTTTTTATGCTACAAAAAGGGTTTCTGTAGCTGGGCTCAGGAATTGTTAATTTTTCTTATATTCATAGTCCAGGTTCTTAGCATTTGGAGAAATTGTAGGCAGTGTTGTTTTACTTCCAAAATGTAATCATAAGTATGACAGCATCATTAAATTCCTATACACCTCTTGATATCAGGTGAATGATTGTCAATTATTATGGCTAATTAAATGGATAAAAGAGTTTCCTAAAATAAAATAATGGTTTGGTTGCAATCAATTCTATTTCACTGCTGTCATATGTAAGATTTAGTAGCATAAAGATAGATGTATTCCTTTTTTGTCATATTAAAATTGAAAGTATAATTATTTGGCAAATCTTCCGGTGGAGAAGGTAATAAAAGGGATTATTGATTTGTGTGGTAGAACGTGATATGGTGACGTAATCATCTATCTTTAACCCTAGATCATATGAAAAAAATTCTATTTAGAATTATTGAGGAGGTGGGAGCAAGGGGTTTTTCGGTATTATCTTTTCCCTAAAAAATTGTCCATGCTCATTTATTATACAAATGTGCATGGTCATATTCTTAACCATAATAAAGGCTGTAATAAATTGAAGTGAGAAAAAAGAACACTAGAGGGCATCCACCATTAATATATTGGTGCTTATCTATTGCAACTGAAGAGCACAATAATGCTTTACCTACTGATTATAAAAATTATAGTTAATGTTATTAAAAGTATTTTTTTTTAATTTGTAATGAGATAAAGGGCTCAAGCTCAAAAGGATCTTGTTCTAAAATCGAAATAGATCTGATACCCTCTTTCATTTAGGCAAGGGACTACTTTTGTGAGGCTGTGATCTCTTACATGGCGAAAAAGATCAGTATGTAATGAATTATTTCTACTCTACTCAGTGCCTGTGACTATCTTGACAAATAAGGTCTGGTTGCAGATTTTGCAGTTATCAGCCTACTGAGGCTTTTACAGGTGTGATTCCATTGGGCACAAGCATATTAAACTGAATCTTTATTTGAGACTGAATCCAATCCGCTGGCAGTGTATAAAATCTCTATGATCATCAAGCCTGACACAGCAGTAATTACGAAAATGAATTCAGGCAACAAACTTTCTTCCAATTTTAGCAAAAGCACAATGAAGATATGCATGGGTGATGTGAGCTTGTACTCTAAAGAGAGATGATTCTGCCACCCTGATTTTTGTACTGAAGTGCCTGTTCCTTGCACTTTTTGCTCGTACTGGTTCACAAAGAACGTTTATATATCGAGACCACAGCACATATGTGCCCATAACAAAGTATTTCAGGTTATACAGTATTTCTACTACTACTACTGTTTCTGCTAGTAAGTTACTGTCAAACTTCCAAAGCAGAGTGAAAAGGCTCAGTTAGAATCCTTCCTCAGTTTAATAAAATTCCTCTTAAGCACTAGCAATCTGTTCCATAGCCATTGTATCTCACCCCACTAAAATCTATGCAATTCTTATCACCCCTTGCAGGCAACTAAAATATATATGCATGAAACTTGGTATATTTCTACACTACCAATTTGTGTGAGGTGTAATCTAAATATATTGGTGGGACATGAGCCTTGAAAATGCTCTTTTTTTGAGTGGGAATTCAGCACACTCCTTTCCCTCCTAGATTGCACTCATTGGCCACGCCCCAGATAGTCAAGCACTTTAAGATTATATTGATCTCAGTGGAAAATTTAAGAATAAGTCTTATAATTATTCAGTTCCACCACTGAAATCAATTAAATAAAAGACTTCAAACTTTAATTAGATTATGAAGATACTCTGTAAGGCTTACCCATTGTAACAATCAGTGTAAGAAACAAACCCTCATGCCTATATATCACTATATAAATATTCTTTCTCATTCATACGCACACATATGCATATGAATGAGAATAGTTTGTGTGTGTTGTGAAATATATAAGAACAAACTTTAGAGAAGCAACTGCTCTTATCATAAAGTGAGGTCCTGAGTTTATGTGAGGAATACAGCACTGATTATCACTGTTCTCGGTCTTAGCATATCTATATTTGTTTATAGTCTTATTTTGGGGGGCTGTTTCTCTTGGGATAACTATTGATTGAAAGTATTGCTATGGTCGGGAAAGGGAATTTTTTGCTAGCATAGTTGATAATATGCTAAAGTTCATATAACAGTATCGGGACCATCTTATAATGAATGAAAATGAACCTTACCTCTCCTTGTTACATAGAGTCTGTACATACATATATTCTCGCTTTGGCAAATATATATTTGATTGATTTGTGCACTTTCTCCTCTGCTTACCTTGACATAATGAGTGCAAACTTCAGGTTATTGCTCCCTGGTTGATAAAGCATGATTGTTCATTCAATTTGAAATATAATCCTTGGATTTATCATGCCAAGCCAAATTCCACTGACTTCAGTGGTACAAGCTCAGGCAACTCAGGACAAGAACACAGCATTTTTTTTTCCCGAAGGTTAAGAGAAGGGTAAGAACTGTATGGAGAAGGGATAGCATGAAAGCTTAAGTAGGAGGGCAGGGAATAAATAGATAAATAAAGCTCTTGAATGGAAGGGGGAATGGGAGCGTGTGTGAGATGGGCACCCATTATCTTGATGAGGCACTGTGTTGAGGAAGAGCCACTTAGCTTCAGAAAGACTAATTTCTGCACATAAGGTATACCAGCACAGAAGGTGTTTCGCATTGAACCAAGTGGCATGGTAGCACTTAGAAGTGGAGGAGCATTTCTCTTTGTAAGAGTGTTTCTTTTAAATTTTGAAGCTAAGTACCTCTTTGGGGCTTTGCGGGACTCTATAAAATAGGCAAATATATTTAGCTGAGGAGTCACGCTGAAAGCTTTCTCAGTACTGGCCATTGCATTACTGTTCCTTAGCTACCTACTTGCATTCGTTTGGGTAATTTTTCAAAGTGCAGCTAATTTCTCATTGTTTATTGAACAAACTCAGTTGACCATTTAAGTGGTTTTCAGGATGGTCAGTAGGTATGTCATCACACAGAGGATACTGTTATCCTGAACACTGTATTAATTTAGTAATGTTGGCTTAAGGCATTATGATTGAACCACTCCAGTAACATAATGTTAATATGACTATTCTTTTTGGTATGAATGGGGAATATGGGCGGGGGGATATTGGCAACGGTGTGCCACAGTTTTCTTCATTGATGTTTGTGACATATGCCCAGAGCTTTATGAGCTACATATTCTCTTTTCTTTGCTCAAACCTGAATAAAGCCATTTGGATTTTTGCAGCTGAAAATCCATTTCTGTTTATAAAGCAGGTATCCTAAGCATTAGTGATGTTCATAGGCTCAGTTGCCACATTGAAAGAATGGGGAAATTTAAGATTTGGACTTCCAATCATACTGGCACTATATATTATCTTATGCAAGTTTTATTAGTAGCATTATTAGTATTATTATTAGGGGCTGGAAGGGAGAATGTGGGAACCATTTTTTCTCTACCACGTGACTGCTTTGATGTTGAGCAAGCTTGTGCTGAACACATCTGCTGATAAAGTTTTGTTACTTTCTTGTACTATGCCACACAACTCTGGAAACTCACCTCAGTTATAAACCTGGCTGGCCTGAAACTCCAGAAGTTTCAGAACTGTAAGCCCCTACAGGAATGGCTACCTAAAATCTTTTCCTCAGGACTGAATCTCATGGATAGTTATATTTTCACGGCTACTCGACTTTCTTCCAGCCCATGTGCTGCCAACAATGCACCCTCAGTCTACACCAAAATCTTTCAACATTGCACCTCTTCCCAGCTGACTCAAGAGGTGCATCACTCAAATGATTGATCCATTATGGAAGTGCAACAAGGAGGTCTGCCAAACATTCCCATACAAACTCATTTTGCAGATACAAGGGGGTGCCTCAGGCCTCCTCCTGTTTGCCTTTGTCCCTCTACCCCTCACTGACTCAATTCCAAACTGTTTGGTCATGCACATGTATAAATGAGGAAAGGGGGAGAAACAATCTAGAAATCTATTACTACGTATGTATTAAAAATGTTAATACCACATCTTTTCTGACAATGTTTTTAAAAAATGTTATTACTTTGCAGACTATGCTTTATAGTACCTGTGTGAGAGGGGCTAGGACACTGGATACGAATAGAGCTATGTTGATATATAATAGTATGTACACGAGAACCTTCATTTTGTCATACATTATACTTGTAATGTAATATGATTAATTAAAAACACTTCAGTTTATTAAAGTGAGTCAGTGTACCTTTATCTGAAGACATGGGCTGAAGCTTATTGCAGATTAATTTTTGTTAGTCTTTAAAGCTAACAAAATAGTGTTATTCTTGCTATTGCAAGCTAATTGGAATAGTCCTTATTGTTTTATAACATGTTCGTTAAACTCTCCATTAAAATGGAAACATCATGCATTGTAAAGAGACAGCTTCAATGGGGATTATCTGTTGTTTTCCCGTGTAAAATCACTGCTTCTCAGTTGTGGTTCCAGTAAGGCACCTCACTTCTACTCATCTGCTCTCCAAACTATCCATTTTAGTCACATTTTTGTCAGTTGATAGCCATGGCAAATGTCAAAGATGTTCTTTTCAAGCTGTTGTGCTTTGGGATTTTTGTTTCATGCTTGCAATGTTCTTTATTTGGGGGGAATTGAACATAAACATCATTTAAGATTTTGAAGACAGATCAAACTTTCCATACTGGACTGATGATGGAGCAGGAGGAAGAGAACTGTTCTGTTTGTGTGTCTGGCCTGCCAATAGTGAAGAATAGTGCCAGAGTGTTAGAGTCCATCCACTCACTAAGAATGTCACAAGTGATTCTCCTCAAGAATCAGCTGAAGTGTTTTAACATCACCACATTTTAATAATCTTATCCCAAAACATTGACAGAAATACTAAACTTGCATGAATTTTCAGTGTCATTGCATTGATCATGCATAAGAATGATATTTGGCATTAATAATATGTTGTCACCCCATTCATATTAGATTGACTGCAAATGTTACAGTAATTAAGGCTAAACAGCCAAGCAATTCACAAATATAAAATCAAAATATAGTCAAATAACACCAGTCTCTAGTCAACAGCGTCCATAATGTCATGCTGGCCAGATGACCATGGAAATATCTTTGGAGATCGCTAGCTCAATGGCCTTGAAATGACGATGAGCACCCTTTGCTATAGTCAGCAATGATTAGCGGAGTAAAATCCACAAGGACTCCTTTACCTTTTTTTACCTAATGAAAAACCTCCTACTGGTAGCATCAGCTATGTTACCATGGCTGTTTTTGTTGCAAAAGTTAGACATATCAGACATATCAGTATTGAACTAGATGTTCTTCAAATATTTTTTCTTCCAGAAAAAAAGGAATAAATGCTTATGTTCTTGTGAAAAATTGTTGTCCTTGTGTGTTTATCTGTACATACCTATATGTGTGTGCAAATATGTGTGGTTTACTTAGCAATTTGATATTGTTTTAATTAATTATGATTTAAAAATAAATACACTGCTACATGTGTATTTCCAGCAGACATATTTCTTAAAAGAAAATAAAAAGAAAAGTCTCCTTTGAGTCAAGCTGGACTTCATATGACATCAGGAACATGTTTTGGGGGGATTTTTTTCCCAGAGCATAAAAATGATTTTTCACCAGTGGTGGTATTTATCCAGTTCGCACCAGATCGGGCGAACTGGTAGCAAGGATTTGGCGTGGGTCGCCAAACCAATAGTAAGTTCTGGCTGGCCATGCCGCTGACCCAGTCGCCCGGTCACTGCTAGCTCGCTTGCCCTGCCAGCCCAATGCTTGCCCACCTCGCCCACCTGACGCTTGCCCCTTAGGTATTTCTTGCTGAGGCCCAGGAAGGCAAAAAAATGGAGGGAGCAGCTTAGTCCCCCCCCCTCCATTTTTTGCCTTCCTAAGGCCCAGAGGAGCCTTCTGGGAGCAAAAACGGCCCCCAGAGGCTCTTCTGAGGCCAGGAAGGTCCCAAAACGGAGTGTGGAGGGATGCTGCATGCCCCTCCCATGCTCTTTTTTTCTTTCTGAGCCCCAGAGAAGTCTTCTGGGAGCAAAAACGCCCCCGTAGAAGCTCCTCAAAGCAAAAAAAAAAAAAAAAAGCCACGCCCACCCAGTCACATGGCCATGCCCACAGAACCGGTAGCAACAAATTTTGAATCCCACCACTGTTTTCCAATGCTGCATTCTGGAGTCTTATTTTGATCTCTCAGGGCAGACCACATCCTTGGATTTTTCCCAACCAAGTGCTAACCAGGTTTCTCTCTGTTTAGTGATATAAAAAAATGTTGAGACTCTCGAAAGAGTGCAGAGGAGCACAACAAAGATGTCTAGGGATCTGGTGGATAAAACCTATGAAAAATGGTTGCAGGAATTGAGTATATCTAGTTCAGTGTAAAGAAGGATTAGGGGTAACATGATAGCAATCTTCCAATATCTCGTGGGGTCAACGTATACTCCAAAGTACCTGAAGGCAGAACAAGAAGCAATGGATGGAAACTAATCAAGGAGACAATCAACCTAGAACTAAGCAGAAGTTTCCTGACAGATCAGAAGTTGTAGATGCTCCATCATTGGAGGTTTTTAAGAAGAGATTGGATAACCATTTGTCAGAAAGGTTATAGGGTTTCCTGCTTCAGCAGGGGGTTGGACTAAAAGACCTCCAAGGTTCCTCCAACTCTGTTATTCTGTTATTTTGTTCAGCATATTGCAAAAATATGTGTTCTTGATCATACAAACCAACTGTCTGTCCAGTAAGAAGCAGAACTTTAAGGAATATGTGACTTCTTGCCAGCCAAAGACTTCTTTTCTATTCAACAATTCATCTATCTCAGGGCTGTCAAACTCCTGGTCCATGGGCCAGATGCATCACGCACTGGCCATGCCCATGCCCGGTTTAGTGAAGGAGGGGAAAAGCCCCAATACATCATGTGACACCAAAGTGATGACGTGAGTTTGACACCCCTTATCTATCTGATCCTCCCTTTGCTTCTCTGCTTAGATGCTGCTGACCCCACCAAAGATAAAATAGAGCAGAATCTCATTTATTTGCTCTCCTCCTGTTCCAGTCCTTTATTCCATCAAATCATTTTGCCGCCTTCTCATGAAAGTGACAGATACTGTCTGTTACATAGAAACAGCTTTTGGATTGCATGCTGCTAGATCTTCCTGCTCACTCTAATTATGAGCAAATTGCCTTATGCTGAAGCTGCCTTGAAAGGCCCCGTTCTTTGAAGGAATAAAGAATCCTTTTCCCGTGTTTCAAAGTTCCATTGTGTCTTCCTGATGTGAAAACTACAATGAAAAAGCTGGCATTGGGCTTTAATCAAGTGAGGCTAGCAGCTTTTCTGGTTTTGTTTTGTTTTTTTTCCCCTTCAGCAGTACCATCTCTCCAGTAATGGAAAAGAGGATTTGCATATAAAAAGACAAAAATATTTCTGCTCTGTAAGAAATGGATTTTCCTCAGTAATTTTTACAGTATTCACATATACTGGTCTTTGAAACCATATAGACATATTCATAATATCCCATGAGAAGGCATGATTTCTGCTGACATTTTCAAGGGAGGTGAGGAAAAATGATTCAAAAGTATGAATTTTCTGATATTGCTGACTGGTTTCCATGGAGATAGTTGCCTTCTTATCCATTTCTATTTCCCTACCTCCACTACTTTTTATGAAATCTCAGAAAGATGTGTGAGACATAAAGTGAGGTAAAGCAGATGCTTTCATATTTTTATGTTAAATGTTAAATATTTGTAAACAAAGCAAACATCTCCTTCGATAGGCTGTCATTTCAGGAATATCAGTCAACTGTCACTGATCATTTATCTATTGTTTAAAATAAAAAAAATACAAAACATAGACAAATAAACAGGATAATCTTTATACTTTAAAAAAAAGATAAAGGAAGGAAAGAATGAATTAAAATCTACTTCATACATGTTTACATATCAATATCCACTGATTTAGCAATAGAGTACAATATTATAATCAAATGCAAAATATTATTTTAAAATATAAAAGCTAGAATTAAAATTAGGCTATAATTTTAGACATAAATGTGGATGTTGCACAATTTCTTATATTAAATTATAACCCAAGTATGGTTTTCAATTAGAATTAAATTTTGCATCAGATTTGCTTTTTAAATGAAGGTTATTCTGGACATTGAGACATGATCCCACCATTTAGTTAGCTATTTCTCAAAAAAGGAAGTTCTGAGGTAATGGAGGAGGCTACTACAGGCAGGCCCCTGTCCAGTGCTGCTTTGTGTCAGGATTATTTACCTATTGGAAACAGGAAAATTTGGGGTCTTCCCTTGCCAAAAAGCCACACTCCCCAACTTTTGCTAATCCACAGGGAGCAGGAAAAACAGAAAGATGAGGGAAAGCAGAAGAATTTGGGGATACCAGCTCTGTCAAAGCCAAAAGACCCACTTTTTCTCCCAGAAGGAAGAAGAGTTAGAGAAGCCCACCAAAGAGCCATTGAAAGTCCTCTGCTGAAGAGCTGTTGCTGCCAAAATTAGTTTAGGTTACCTAGGGCCAAAACCTGTGAGGAGAAGACACTTGAAACCAGAAGCAGGGATTCTTCTGCCTGCCCTCCTCGAGAAAGATGAAAAAAAATCTGGTCATCTTTCCTCTTGTTTCCCACACGGTGATTGGAGATGGGTGAAGAAAAGCTCTTTTGCTATCTACCTATAGCCAACATCAAAGGAGGGCTCCTTCATCTCCTGGACACTCATTGAAGACATTCTGATTTATTGACTCTTTGAAAAATTTGCAATTCCCTTTTTAAAAATATTATCAACATTTTCTTGCCTAAGAAGCAAGTAAGATGATGTATTTATCTGACTTCTCAGAACATAACATTTCCCCCCTTTTTAATCTGTCCTGTTGAACCCTACTACCAAACTCTATTTCATCCTTGTTTGGTTACTTGGTGAGTAACTTTCAACTGGAATCTGGAGTGAATTGGTCTCCTTAGCCCATGAGCTGATATGTATTTTTAATTAGCCTGAGAAAGACCTTATTCAGTCTGTCTGCTCTGTTGAAATTACTACCAGTTCAAAGCTAAAAACGATTTCGGAATGGAGTCCTAGAATATTCTTCCTTTTTGGAATGAATCACAGGCTTAAATCCCCATCAAGATGGAACCCTCTTACCTTTTTTTCTTTTCCAAAATCACACCATTCTGCAAGATTTCTGTTTTCTTCCTTTAACTGAGAAAGTGGTCAGCCTCCAGCCATTGTTTTGCAGGTACAGTCCTTTTGATCTCCTTTTGATCAAACTTTCAGTTGGCCAGAATTTTCATAAAGTAATCTTTTACACACATTGAAATCCACAAGCCACTTCCAATTCAAGACTTTATAGGATCTGTTCCAGCTCTCTAAAGCTGGAAAACAGGCTGGTTATTTGCCTAAAGGGTGTATGGGATGGGGAGTGAATTATATCTTTCAAAGCTCTCTATCATGATATCCTCCTAGCTTCTCTTTCTCTAGTCCTGTTGTGTCTCAAAATAGATTTCTATTTTTACTAATTTGAGAATCAATGGAATTGTGTTTTTGGTGTTTTTATGTTGGAACACTTCTGCAGCATGTGCAAAGCTCTCAGTAATCTCTGGAAATGTAATTTGACTACTCCCATCTATGTATTAAAAGATAGATATTGCTTTTAGAATGGTTTGCTGACCAGGACAGTATCTAGAGTGAAACTAGCATTTTAACAAGTCTAGAAGTACATCCCAACAAATTCTGTAAGTATTGCATGCAGCAAATCCTATGAGAATAATATAACAACAAAATTGCATTACATGTCTTTTATCTCAAGCTAGGCTAAATGAATAGTTAGGCTGAATTGTCTATTTTCAGCCATGAGATAGCAAAAACAGAAGGAAATTTCTCCAATGGGATAACAGATGCCTCCAACAGGAAGAATTTTGGGGGATGTGGATTTAGTCTATAACTGCAAAAGAAAACAAATGATAACATATATTTTAAAGTTAGTGATGAATCAAGAGTTTAGGAATTTGCATCAAGTCAATGGTGATAGGTAGACAATCCATGGGGGTTCAACTTACGATGCAGGGAAAACTAGCATTTGGAAATTCTCATTGAATGAATATGGAATGCACAGTGAGAAAATTATGCTACATATATGAGATATTGGCTAGGGACATTTTGTGCAAAGAGAAAGGATATGATAAAAAAATAACAATATACTTTCTTGACTGTAGCAAAGCTTTGCCAACAATTTTAAATATTTATTTATGAATATATAAATCACTTAGCCCAGACATGGATTTTGCCACATATCCAGAACCCATCTGTAACACTTATCTCTCAAAAAAGTGCTGGATTTAGAATG